CAAGTTTTATAAACAATAATTATTAAGATAGGTCCACTGTTTTAAATTCTTTTTTGTCGCATTCTGAATATATAGCACATAATATCGATATTAAATCGACTTGTCAATAATTGGTCGAAATTCGTGTCCATTTTTAAGTCGAATCGACTACAAATTTAAACCGTCGATCGACTAGTATAATCGACGTCGAATCGACGTCGATTCGACAAGGTATTTCTGACTGGGGACTCTCTCTCTCTTTCTCTCTTTCTCTCTTTCTCTCTCTCTTTCTCTCTCTCTTTCTCTCTCTCTTTCTTGAAACCAAGTTCAAAAAAGCATTATATACCCATTTTCAAAAGCTTTATATAGTTTTGTATATTTATTTGCTTCTGTAGAAGCGCTTGTAATGTTGTGCAGTAAATAAAATTAAAAAATAAAAAAATTTAGGTCATAAAAACGTCAGTTTACAGGTCTCTATAGTCGGTATCCAGTACCGCCTTAAACGTCTGATACTCCATATGACGTCTAATAAACATTTAATGCAGGTCTACAGTATGTTGTTCCCCCGTGCAATAAGCTTTACATTGTTGTGAGTTGGAAATCGGATATCTGACAATTTCGCGTCTTTTTCCAATAACATCAATAAAAATATATACATGTTATATCGTACAGTTATATCGTACAGTTATCGTATAAAACCTATTACATAAATAAAGTCTGTTTCAGACACCAGCGTTCCACATGACGAAGAGAACAAGGATACAATCAGCTTTATTGGCGCATCAGGATCGCCCCGATCGCCTTATCCAGTCGATCGTTGAGCGGCTCGTCGACGATGACGTTGCCAATCTCGTGGTCTGGTTGACCTCGGCCGGGAGTCTCTAATCCATGATTCCGCCGCACAAATCAGCGTCGATGACGAGAGTTGCTACGTTGGGTTTGCGCTTGGTGTTATGTTGTAGTTTGTTGTTCGTCGGGGTCTCTCCGCGCTCCCGACACTACGTGTCGCCTGTTTTCCCGGATGGACCCACGGAAACCGGACACAATGGGTCCGCTTCCGCTGAGCGGCAAGGCCAGAAGTCGGACGTGGGGACCCTACCTGGCTCTCTCTCCCCACGGGCCCCCTACGGCCTGTGCGTGTCGTCTATGCCGCGCGCGTTGACCATTCATCGGGAATCTGCGATTTGCTCTTTCGCTCGTTTTCCTCGCTCTTCACCTCCCTGATGGTGTACAGGTGTTTGTGTACGTTTATTATTTCCGCGCTTCCCGCCGATTTTGACCGTCAGTTTGATTACGGGTGTCACTCGCGCAGCAACGCCTCTCTCTCGCGATTTCTCGGTGTACAATCTCGCACGCCTCTGTTTCGCGCGACCGGCGGATATAGCACGAGCAGAGACCGCATTGACATCGCATCGAGATTATTGCATTGGAATCGAACGGGAAAACGCATCCCGAGGTTTTCCTCGCTTTCCTTTTTCATCACCAGCGGCATCACACGGAAAAGAAGCCCGGACAAAAAATTTGAGGGCGGGAAACTTGGGGATAGCTATCCCTCTCGAGTAAGACATTCTTCTTCTTTAACAATTAATGAAGTATGACGCACGACTTTGATCTTTATATGCTCAGATATCGAACATATTCGATTGATTATGCTACACTGAATGCCGTTGAAAAAAAAACTTTTTTTTATATATAATTTATCTTATTTCTAACAAATATATTCACAATGAGCTCTTCTTAGTGTATCAAATTAATAGTTAGATTATTTTTAATTTTTTATTTAATTTTTTATTTTTTATTTTTTGTTTTTTTTTTATTTTTATTTTTAGCAAATTGAAAAAATTCATATCTTCTTCCAACATCACAATTCATCATATATTAGATAACGAGTATTCGAAGACTTGAAAAGAAGCAGAAAAATAAAACATGTTTTTACATGAAAGAATTTTTACACATAATTACTCACTTGCATGACTGCGTGTGCTTAGAAGCCTAATTAATTATTCCAATGACGCATTGCGTGGCAATCAACGCGTTGATAAGCCGTCGTTCGTTGCCATAATTATTGCAATTATCTCGCAAGATGGTTACGCAATCGCGAAGACACGTGAGTTACGGATTTTCCTTCCGCAACCTTTTACGTACACGTAATCGTAGATATACATACATTACGGTTCCGCAATAATTTTTCAATGCCGCACGTTCATCATGTGTAAAACGATAAAATATAATCCCGCGCCAACTTTCAAACGTTCGCGCATCGTCGCGCCATAAGCTCGCGAATTGAATTCAACCGAATTAGCATGACGCATTACCAGATAATAATTTTGTCGTTGCGTGCGAACGTTCCATTAACATCAACGTCACACAACAATGACCGAATTCATTCCCGGTTCGACACGGGTACGCACGCAATAATGCCGCGTGTGTGGGAAGAGAGTTCAAAGCACCACGACAATAGTTTCTCTAGTGGAAGCTCACAATAAAACCGTCGCGGAAAGTACAAGCTTTTAAAATGCCGGTACTTTCCAAAACCCGAATTGCAAATTGCGTTGCGATCATCGTCATTTTTTTCTCTTTCTCTCTCTCTGATCTACGCAACATTTTTCAGCGTTTGTTTTGGCGTCGTTTTTTTTTGATAAAAAACAAAATCAAACAAAAATTCCAGTTTCACACTCCAGTTACAATTAAAACTGTTTTTCTCGTCGATAAACTCCTCGCACGCCTCTCGAAGCGAAATTTACTCACGCAAAACATGTCTGATCACTTCAAATCTGAGCAATTTCCCGAAACAATTTGCATACGATGAGAGAAGCCTGTAAATCGGCCAATCCAGTGGGGGAACAATTACGGGAATGTAATTTTGCGCGCTCGTAATAATTCCGCGAATTATTACGAACGGGCACGCCATAATTTTCGCTCGCAAACCGATGATATTAGCATCGGCGTAAAGCGCTTTTATAACTGCGGTGTCGGTGACAAAGCGCAATTACAAGGGTGATAAACCGTAACGCGATTAATAAGCAGCACACCGTAGACACACCGATGGGACACAATTGGCGGACGAGTTATATGGCCACGATAATTGGCACTTGTCACGACAACGCAAGTACACGCTCGCGCAGATCGTCGAGTAAACATAAATTACCCCGATAGTAAAATCCTCTTTATGGTATCGCGCTGTCGATATCGTAAACATTCCAATTGTGGAATGGTTGTGGTAATGAAGCTTTATTGCGAGTCGGAATATATAACACAAGATCGATAATCGCGCGCTAATGTAACAAAAATGGAAACACACATATTAATGTTCGCAATCGCGCGTCGCGCTTCATATTCGACAAAAATATAAATCCAAAAAATGAAGTTATTCTCTTTGGTGCGCGAGCTGTAACTTTTCCTCGCGTATCTTCACAATATGTATCTACATGAAAAGTTATTATTTTTTAATTTCGTTGTTTTTAGCTTTTATTACTTTTTTTTTTTATTAAAACGTGATATGAAAATGTTATTTGAAAGCGCAATTTTGTATTTCGCAATTTTGTATTTCGCAATTTAAGTTGTGCAGTTTAACGTTTCTGTTTGCGTCGATGATGTTGCACGGGGATAGGTATTAAATTATTTATGTAGAGAGAAGTTCGCTGAGTGTGAAGATAATTCTGCTCGCTCTTTCGTTTCCGATGATTGAACTCGCACGCTGTCCTACGTCAGTCACGATAACCGGATAGATAATAGTCAGTCAGTTAATAATGTAATGCCTGAAAGTTGGAACCACGCTTCGCTGCCCTTACAGGCGTGTGCTAGTCCTTTGGCAGTCGCGTACGTACACGATCAAACGAGGGGGTGCGAGTGTGTGTGCGCGTATGGTGATGTTCAGGGTGAGCGCTCGTCAGGAATCCCATAAACTCTCTATTGCACACACCGTGTGTTCCGTATGTATCCTCGAATACATGGAAATGTCCAACGGCCAGAACAAATGGTTCTCGCGTAGTTTTATCTTTATTTCGATTTTTCGTTTGTCGTTCTTTTTTTTTTTTTTTTTTTCGTTTTGTTTTGTTCTCGCGTGCGAGACAAAAACTGAATAACACGTATTTGTGGGTACCTGTTCTCTAGGGAAATTGAGAGAAAATATTTTACCGATTTCGAAACAGCAATCGAAATTACTCTATCAGCGCTTTTTTTCACGTGTGCGCGATGTTTCGCAATTTTCTCGAAAATGAAATTTACAGTCACGGTCATTTGTTCCTTTTGTTTTTTGCAAGTAGAACTGACAACTGTCATTTCGTAAATTTGATAAAGAATAATATAGAAGAGAACGAAACCATGATACTATTTTAATAACACATAATTTTTATTGCAAAATAAATGTGTGAATTGTAAGAGGAAAAACTGAAATTAATGAAAATAATTCTCGATAAATAATATGTTTTCTTATGAAAATAAAAATATTTAAATATTTTTCTTTTTACAATACGCACATTGATTACTTACTCGTTTATTTTATCAGATTTTAGTAACAGTTGGCATGTGTACGATATAGCAGTTCGTACATTTGAGCATTACAATGTGGGGAACTCATAGATCAATTAGCATGCCATCAGTCGTCCGGATATTCATCATACTGAGTTTATTAGCTACTGGTAAGTTTACGCTTAATTAAGATACTCTGTCATTGTTCGATACATATTATTCTCACAACGATTTTTTTCACAAATTTTGTTTTGAGAAAAATAAAAAAAAGAATTAAAATTCAAATTTGCTGAAAATGTTTAATTTTAATTGCATGATACGCCACTAAAATAAAATATCAACTATATGTACTGAAAAATACTAAAAATCTCTGTTCATTATATTTCAAGTGATAAGAACATTTTTTTTTTTTTTTTTAATTTAAAATTGGAATAAAAACTGTTCGTGGAAATTCAGAGAGAGATTTTTCAGTTTTATCTCCTACACTATTGCTACTTCCTGCCTCTATTCTCTCTATTTCGGTTTTATTGCGTATTGTAAAAATGCGCTTTGCTGTTTCGAGTTCGCACGTATCTAGAATTCTGCGAACGTGCGGACGAGCAAATCGAGGGATGCAAGTAGAACGATAGCATTGCGTCGTACGTACTTGCGAAACTTTGTTGGTCGGCATTTGTGTCGCGTTATCCGTGCCACTTATGGCACGAAAAATATCACGTTGAGAGATAAAAATCGATGAGCGCGCGCATCAGCCAGAGGAAATAGCCTGAATTTTATGTGAAAAGGAAATAATATACTGTGCGCGAAATAGCATAAATAATAAAATCAGAAATGATCTGTCGTTGACCGACAAACGAGTGATAAACGAGCGAAAAATCATTTCCAGTTTCGGCGCAAACAAGGTGCAACGGTGGTTTAGGAAGGGTGGTTTACGAGAGACTTCCGGATCAGCAGCTTCAGGGCTTTGATAACGAGGAGGTAAAGAGAAAATGTTATATGAGGAAATATTTTATTCTCGACTACACACACTTTAGCTTATCATGAGTTTATAATTTGTTAATTTACATTTCGCTAATGCTGATGTGTGTAACTAAAAAATAACAGAGTGTAGAAAGCTCTGCTCTCTAAATTCAGAAAATTAGTAATTGGAACAAATTAGATTTAGACGTAAAGGATATGTCGATTCCCCGACAGGTGCGAGACTCGGCACCTCCGTTTAGGGTTCTGGAGAAGTGCCAAGAGCTCTGTCTGCGCGACCGAGGGGCGAATAACAACCTGGTTTGGCCGTGCACGAGCTTCGACTTTCAGCCCGGTAACAGAATTGCGTTCTTCAGCGGCGCCGCCGAATACGAGGAAAGTATTTGCCATTTAACGAGAGAACAGGCGGCGCCGGAAGGCATCGGAAATCTCATACTCGTGCCGAATAGCGTGCACTTCACCGAAGTATGTCTGGGATGTGAGTATTTCCGCGCGAAAAAATAATCGCTGTATGCGCGGTGCTTTTAATTAAAACGTCAGGAAACACGAAATAATTTTTTTTATTCGGTACATGTTAAAACTAAAATTTTCATAGAATTTGCAATTATTCGTGAAAATGTGAACACTTTAATTTTTACTCGCGTCAGTATATGAAATGATGTATTGTAACTTTTGTTTTATCTCTTACGACGAGATCTGAAACATCGAATTGGTATTGCTTTATGTGACTAGCAAATAGAATAGACAGGGAATGTCCAAATCGTCGTTACGTGTTTGAGAGATATCCGAGAAAGAAGCTGGAACTACCCAAGACAGACATCAGAGAAGTCAGCGCCTCCAACAGAACTGACTGCGAGGACAAGTATGTGCACGATAATCGGAACTCGTGTATGCGCGAAAAAATATTATCGTAAATATTTGTTCTTCAGGTGTCTCGATGAAAACAGTTTCGTCTGTCGATCGGCGACGTACGACAGCACTTTGAGAAGCTGTTCTCTCAGTCGGTTTACCAGAAGAACCCACCCCGAAATGTTGGAGGACGATCCGTCTACCGATTATTTAGAAAATACTTGTCTCAGTGGTGTGTTTGTTAACATTTTTGCGTTAAACAATATTTATTGTTTATTTATCTAAAGATTTAACTTTTTGTTTCGAATCATTAAAATTTTTTTGTTTTTTAACATTTTTTATTTCAGCTGAAAGACGATGCGATGGACTCGCGGTGTTTGTCAAGGAAGAAAATAAACGTTTGCGCGGTCCTTTCGAAGTGGACATATACACAAATCTTACTTTAGACGAATGTCAAGCGCTCTGTCTCAGAGCGGAGAAATATTTCTGTCGCAGCGTTGAATTTGACGAGCAAACAAGACAGTGCGTCATATCCGAAGAGGATTCGGTCTCGCAAAAGGACGACATCGGAACCAGTCCAAGTCATCACTTTTACGATCTGGTGTGTTTAGACAATCGTGAGTACAAAATGTTAAAATTATGATTTTTTTTAATATTATATTTTTTCTGTTTTCTCTCTCCACTTTAATTTGCGAGAATTTATATATTCACGTGTAACCATGGTTTTCGACAGATATGTTATGTAACGAAAAGACTCAATTTGTATAAAATGGTATGTGTGTCTAATCAGATAAAATTATTTTTTATATTTGACATTTACTTAACAAATTTGTTATTTTACTAAAACTAGATATCAGAAGAATTTTAATTTACTAAAAATTTTTATTAGAATGTGTATAGTTATTTTAGAATAGTTGTACTAAATCTTTTATTAATTTTTATTAATGTTTTTAAACTGTAATATAACTCGGTTTTGGTGTAAATAGATAAAGTAAAACTTCAAAGAGAAATCGGAAAGATTATTCTCTTCCGCATTTGTGCGCTGTGCTAACAAGGGTGCAGGATTTAATTAACGATGGTCAGTTGGTGATTCACTTGTTATCAATGCCCACTTACGAAACGTAGATCCGTCCTTAGCGCGCGGCTCGGAATATCCGGACAGCAACTCGGCATCGCACATGTTCTCCGACGGTCGAACACGACCGGACACGGCGTTCCAGCGTTATCGAAATTCTCGATTGAGTGGCGAGTTCCACTCGGAGATCACTGGACGCAGTCTCAGCGAGTGCCTGGACGAGTGTCTGCGACAGCCGAGTTTCCAGTGCCGCAGTGTCGTTTATTCCGAACATTTTCGCACCTGTCGATTGAGTCGATATAATCAACGAGATGGCAACAGAATTATTCATGACGCCGATTACGATTATTACGAGAATCTCATGCGTGAGTATTGATCGTTCGCGCCACCGCAAAAAAAATCGGAAAATTGCAAAAAAACTTATTTATATCTCGGCAATATAATTAACGTGTGTCAGAAGATATAAAAAACGTGATAGGCAACAAATTGTTCAATATATTTCTCAAGAATTATTTGCAGAAAAAGATTCAAGTTAAAATAATACGTAAGTCGTTTGATACGTTGACCTATATCACTGCGCGACAAGGTTGCGAACGAATTTCTTAAAGCCACGAATATAGTGCTTACACATGTTCAATGTTTAATTTATCACTGTGCCGACAGATCAATATCTAGACGGCGATCGTGATAGTCCTGGATATAGACCAGATCCCCTGGGACAAGACACAAACTTTGGACGACCCTCTCTTGGAAGGCCGGGTTAGAATCTTTTTTTATTAATTCATCACAATGTCGTGCCATTGACCATTTATGAAGTTGAATTAATTATTTATAAAATCGCTTGTTGTTTCACGTGATGAATGTTATTTTTTTAGGTTATCCGGACGATTACGACAAGGGATATCCCAGCAGTGTCAAACCAGATCGTTATCCAGATCGTATCCCAGATCGCACACCAGATCGTTTTCCAAATTGGGTTTCAGATCGTTATCCCGATCGTTATCCCGATCGCTATCCCAGTCGCTACCCCGATCGCTATCCCGATCGCTACCCCGATCGCTACCCTGATCGCTATCCCGACCGCTATCCCGACCGTTATCCCGACCGATCTCCAGACCGATATCCCGACCGCTATCCAGACCGCTATCCAGACCGATATCCCGATCGTCGTCCTTTAGACGACAAATATCCGGACACTCGCTATCCCGCACAATATCCCGATTCGGACAATTATCCGGACCGATTTCCTTCTGGCGATCGGTATCCCGATAGATATCCCGATTCTGGCACTCTGGACAAATATCCGGGCCGATATCTTGTCATACACGGTGTCCGATATCTATTGACTCCAAGTCGATATCCCACTGACACCGGAAGTCGATATCCCACTGACACCGGAAATCGATATCCCACCGACACCGGTGGTCGATATCCCACCGACACCGGTGGTCGATATCCAACCGACACCGGTGATCGATATCCTAATGCGATCGATCGCTATCCATTTCCAGAAGATCCGCTAGATCGATATCCATTAGGTGGTGATAGATCACCCGGTGATCAATTTTCAATCTCTGGCAGATATCCTGAGAAAGATCCTTACGCCAATCGGTAAGTTGTGAGTTTATCTCTTTTCTTTTTGCTGTCGTCGTTCTTTTTTATGTCCACAAAAATCTAATTTTTGTCATTTTAAAGAGACCTTTAAAATGTTGTAAAATGAGAAAAATTACAATATAGATTCAAATAGCAGGTATCCCGTGGGACACGGATTGTATCCCGCTCACGGATTCGTCGATGACGTTCGCGGGCCTCAGACCCACGGTATCGAGTCACGACCTCCCTATGGCGGCGACGGCGGTGGGCCTTACGGTCCGGCACGGCCGATTGGGGGATACGGCGGAGATAATGGTATCGTAGGTGGTGGATACATAGGCGAAGGTGGAGTTTACAATTCGCGCCCGTTCGGTGGTACTGCCGGTGGTGGCCCCATCATAGGCAGGCCGCCATTGTTGTCCAGATGCGACGAGCAAGACAATTTCAGGCAGGTCGGACCTCATGTTAGGGTGCGGAAACCGTTCGTTAGACGGTACACCACCGCCTCGTCGCTGGCTCAGTGCGAGAGAGAATGCGCCGACGCTAGAGACTTCGTTTGCAGGTAATGACAAAGGTCAAACTTCACCGGAGATAATAGACAAACATAGCGTGAAGGATAATTGGATTAATTAGAAAGAACATCTCCTACGGTTGATTTTGCGGGTAAAAATAAAGGCGGGATTTGATTACCCAGTTCAATAAAGCGTACAAATACAAAAAAATAATAATAATAATTCTATAATAAAGAAAATATATATTTAAAAAAAATAAAAAAAAGAATATTTTGCAAGAATAACGTAACTACAAACCGACGACGATTGGTATGTGGGAAATATACGAAGATTCGAGCAGAAATTGAATTAGAAATGATCCGACAACGTTTGTTCGTCCGATCGATCCGGACGACGCTCGCAAATTCTCGACGTCATTTGCAGGTCCTTCAATTACCGACCGTATGCCGCTCCTTACGGGGTCGACAGAGAGAACTGCGAGCTCAGCGACCGGGACTCCAGGGACATGAACATGGGCAACTCGGTTTATTACGACACGAGTTCCGATTACGACTTCTACGAGAGAAACAACGATCGTCAGGGCGCGGACGGGGAATGCCTGGACGGTAAGCGCCGTGTTCGTGAGGCGCCGATACGACAATTACGAAATTGGGAGACGCATGCGGAACGCGCACGAGACACTAGAAAATCAAAATAACGTGCACTGAAAGCGCGAATAAAGAAGTTTTGAGTTTTTTCGAGCACACTTGCTTTTCCACACCCTCATTAAGTTTTTATTACTGATTGCAAAAACAAACAACTTTGTAAGTTGTGTAGCAATTTTTGTTCTTACGGTTGTATTATATTTATATTTTATATGTGCACACACATTATTTATTGTCTATTGTACACGTCTGCGAATTTGCACTATTGTCACACAGTTTTGTTTTTACTTTAAAAAAATAAAATCTGATTACGCTTTTTTTTTTTATTTACATTTCTTCTTCTATCAGCGAATATACTTTGCACGTCACACGTGCGCATTCAACACGACCAACACACGATCCACAGTTCCCCTTGTTCTGCGGCTTTCTTCTCAAACTTGACAAAAAACAACGCAAATAAAACCGACAGAATTTCTTGCTTTCTTCGAGCGACAATTTGCTTCGGACAGCGCAGTTAAAGATCTTTTTCTTCCACATAAACGTAAAGTTTATCTACCACTGTTATTCTCTCACTGCTACTCTTGATTAATTTGCGCTACTTCCTTTTCGCATCGACGGTTTTTCCGGGAAACTTGCTCTCGAGGACTCATCTCTGTTGCGCTTTTAGTGAGTCAAGTCTGTAGCGAAGACGGAATGGAGTTTACCCTGAGGACGCCGGAAGGGTTCATAGGGCGAATTTACACGTACGGATATTACGATCGGTGTTACTTCCGCGGAAAAGGCGGAACTGTTAACGTACTGCGCATCAGCGGGCCCCAAGGATACCCCGAATGTGGCACGCAGCGAGTAAGAAAGTTATATCCAAATCTCAGAAAGTTTTGCTATCTACTTTGTTTGTAATCCGCCGATTTAATTTGAAAAATTTTGTGACGCGCGAGATATCGCTCGAACAAAGTCGAGGTTTTCGCAAATCGCGGTCGCGTTATCGGTTAAATTACTTTTTAATAACTTTTGCTTCGACGTAGAATTAAAAAGTCGTTTGTAATAAAAAGAGGCTATTAAAAACGTAATTGTTTTTTTTTTTTTTTTTTTTTTTTTTGGATTATTCAGTAAACTTTTTTCTTCTTTGGTTTTAGCACTATCTCTCTCTGGAAAGTATCGAATATTTAATGATACTAATAATATACATTGAATATATAATGAAATCTGACGACGTGCAAATTGATTTCCAGTACGGTGATACAATAACGAATATTGTGGTGGTGCAATTTTCGAACTACGTGCAAACTGGACGAGACAAGCGATTCAACTTGACGTGCCTGTTTCGAGGACCTGGCGAAGCTGTCGTCACATCCGGCTACATCGGTGCCGGGTATGCCAGGTCATATCGATCGAGAGGTCTTGCATCGGGAGCACGATCTTCAGCGCGCGTTAAGTGCTACACGAGTACTTTCGGAGATTGTTGTAGATGAAATTTCCGGAAAGATAATATTTCGAGATCGCGAACGTAACGCACAGTTATTAGCGCGGATAGTAATAATTTTTATTCTACATTCTCTCAATTGTTCAAAATTCTGATTTTTTTTTTTTTTCAGAATCAAGAATTTTTTTTTTACTTTTCGTAATCGACTATTTTCTCTGCGCATTAATTTTTTAGATAGTAATGAGTGACCTCTATGTACGTTTTAGCATTATTGCGAGCTGAGGAGAGTGTTCCGTGTTGCGTATGTATGCGGATGCAAGAGCACGCTCGTGCAATTTCTTTTATCATACATTCAGTTTCATATTTGTGCCATTAGAGAATATTACGTGCGCTTTCTATATTTTCTCTTTATATATACATATATTATACGAATATATTATATTTTTCCCTTTATACGTGTATTTTATAGAGTGTCGCAGCATCATCGCGGTAATCAACCATCGCAACCATCTATTAATTATTACTTAATTCGCAGCAGATATTTTTTTACCTTTTTTTTTTTTTTTTTTATTGCAAGTCTATAACTTATTACCGCTGAACAACATATCTCGTGTATTGCACACGCCAGTGTAGCTTTATATTAACAAAATTGAAATCGCAAAACGTGAATTTAATCGAGGGAGCGCCGATACGAGCGGTCCCTCAAGCATCGCGCGCATTTCGTATTTTCCCTTCCCCTCGTATACATACATCATGTACAAAGACCTTAAGTAATCTCAATTTCGCTAATGGGATTCGTACGTGTGCGGTGCAGATCTGGGTCTCCCGTCCCCATCGAATATCTCCCGGCGGAAAACACTTTGAGTTCCAAAGTACGCTTGCTGATCCTCTATCAGGGTAGACCAACGACCACGATAGCCGTCGGTGATCCTCTCACCTTCAGACTCGAAGCTGTGGATGGGTAATTTTTTTTCTCCCCAATATCTCGTCCCAATAAGTAAAAATCGATGATTAATTCGTTTTTAATCTGTATATTTCGCTAATTCTGTTTTTGTGTTTTTTGCAGATACAATTACGGAACTGATATATTTGCCACCGATGTTTACGCGAAAGATCCGTACACCAACAGAGGCGTTCCGCTGATAGACAAATACGGGTGAAAGATTTAATGTTTTTTTATATTTTTTCTATAACAGTTTTAATTTATATTTAGATATTTTTCTTGTAACATTTTCAATTTATTTTTACTCAAATCGAGAGTTAAATCTCCGCGAGGGTCATGCATTCTTACTTCACGCGCGGTTCTAATTTCTGCAGCTGTCCCGTGGACAACTACGTGTTTCCGGGATTGGATCGTTTACGCGACAGCGACAGCCTCGAGGCCCGCTTCAACGCCTTTAAAATACCCGAATCGAATTTCCTCGTGTTCGAGGCGACCGTGCGAACGTGTCGCGACGGCTGCCAGCCGGCGTATTGCTCAAACGCCGGCACCGGCAGGAGCGAGCCTTCCTTCGGCAGAAGACGGCGAAGAGACGTAAATAACGACACGGTAGCGGCGGATGAGGACAAACTGGCGCCGATAATCGTGACGGACGATGACTTTAACAACGCGTCGGCGACGATTTTCAACGCGACCGATAACGGGACCGACGACGAGCCGGAATACGACGACGGCGTGGAGGAAGAGCACGTCAGAGAAATGATCGAGGTAAGACGAGAAGGAGGATTGTGCCTTTAGATACATAGCTTTCATTTTAGCGCGTTCCCGTGAGAAGAACGGGGCGACGTTTTTTCTTTATAAATATTTGCGATCGCGAATGTTATTTTATGCTTCAACAGGTTCTCGATTCGAGAATGGATATCGAGGACGAGACCGTTGTCGAGAAGCAAACTCAGATTTTAGAAAATATTTGTATCTCGCAAAACGAATACTACGGATTAATCACTGCGGTGGGAATTCTTGTCGTTCTCTTGGTTTCCGTCGTTCTCTTGTCTATGCTTGTTTACAGGTAAAAAAAAAAAAAAAAAAAAAAAAAAGTTGCATCTCTTATACTTTAACTCTCTTCTCGCCTGTTAGGTAACGTTAAAGCGATTAATTGTTTCAGACAATATGTTTATTCCATTATCATGAAAAACCGTAGACTCGACAAGACCTGCAATCGCAGCAGCCGTTCCGACGAGCATTACAACAGTCGAGTCAACAACTTCTCTTTCATGAGAGCGGGTCTTCAGAAACCATTTCAGGCCTCGTAAGTTCAACGTGATCAGCATTTGTTTAATATTAATCAAAAAGCTAATAGATTTGTTTTTATACTAAACAAAAAATGTGAACAAGTGTTAGTTTTGTAATCGATTGTTATAGATCGATCTCGAGATCGGTGAGCAACGCTATCAGCCAACGTCTTGCCTCGTCGTCCACCGCTCTGGAGGGAGCTGTGGGTTTATCCACCAATCGACGCAGCGGTTTCGATCCGAGCGAGCCGATCTACACCGATCCCTCGCTCTTCGAGGTCACTCGTTGCTCGAACACCGCAAAATCGGGTCTTAATGATAACTTTCATCTCATGTAGAAAACAATTCGCGAGAATCAATCAATCTTGAAATTTCATATTAATGCGAGCCTTCGTTCTCTATCTCTTTAATTTTTAATCGTTTCAAAATCGACTAACGACTTTACGAGAAAGATCAGCGTATCGTTACGATCTTCTGCCGCTAGTCAAAAATTCACTGCCAACTCCGCTCCTAACGAGCGTAATTGCATTTGTCAAACGAATTTCATATAAATAATTTAGTTTTATTCACTTACATCGCCGAGAGATTATTTAATTCAGAAAGTTTATACAATAATATTACCGTAGCTGAGAAGTTAAAAACTGCTTTACACACAAATCATATCTCCTCAACGGTTAACTTCGAGAACGTCGTGTAATTACTTTTCTTAAATGTTTACCGAAAGTAATTGCAAAAAATATACAGCTCGTAATAACATAGACATTTAAGCTCTAATAACCAAGTGAAATTAGAATGTAATGTATTTTTTATAAGATGCAAAAAAACTTCCTAATGATGCGTTTAATTTCGCAAAAATCAATACGATGTAACAATAAACTCGCTGAACTTCTTGTAAAATCAATGTTTTTTTTTTTTGCTCTAAAATTTACGTTCTGTTTTTGTATGTTTCACCTTGGGAAACATATACTGATACATAAATAATGAAAACCATCTCGTTTTCTTTGTTTATCGCTTTTAAATTTTCAAAACCGCAATTTTTGTCACGTTAAGATTTAAATAGTACACGATATATAATAGTTGTTATTATTTAGCAGTAAATTAAATCGAATCAAGAAAGTTTTTATATTTATTCCAATTAAATATTTTAATTGCAGTAACGAGAAGAGTAAATCGATATTATACAGAGACCAAGTTTGTGTTTTTTACAAAGTTATCTATATGTGCGATACAACATCGCGATTGAAAACATAAATAGCGAAAGATAATGCATTTTTAAGAAACGTTAAAACAAGATTGTTTAAAATATTCTTAAATTCTATTCTTGAATGTGTCAATGTTTAATTATTTTTTTGTTCAAATCATTTATCTTACCTCTTTTGTGAATCTTCGGTCGAGTTTATATTTCGTCTAACGTTTCCGAGACAATCAATATTCGGCTTACCGCAGAAACTGCGCGCATAAATCCTCTTTAATTCTGCTCCGTTTGCGAACAGAAAAACAACATTTTGAATCTGGCTTCCTCTTTGCGATAATGAGCCTCCTCTAACTTGATCCTCGCTTCTTCCAACATAATCCTCGCCTCCTCTTTCATCATGGCCGCGATGTCAACCTTTATCTGCGCCTCTGAGAGCGCGAGAAGGTGTAGTTCGTCCTCTCGTGTGGCTTTTTTCTTGCGATTATGATCGACAGAACGCATTACGGAAGGCGAAATAAAAGCATCCGAAGCGTTTGGTTCCAAATTTGTGTAGTTTTTCTCGACGTTATTCGCTGATTGATCGATTACAGGCAAATTGGTGGTTTTTTTGGCGAACGTTTTGCAACAATCATTCGCTGAAACATCAGGTGACAAAACGGCGTCGCATTCTACCTTATCAGCATCGTCGCCATCTTGTTTAAACGCGCCATTATCTGTTAAAAAATCAAATTTAACCTCAGTCTCGATATTATATATACATATGTGTAATATGTTTTCAAATATAAAGCACAATATTTTTTATTTCTTTAATTTATAATACACTACAGAAATAAATAAATTTATAACCTAAATTTTTGCAACTGTCCGCATCCTTCTTCGAGCAGGTTAGATTTAAAGGTTTGACGAAGCTTTGCAGAGTGAACGGTTCCGAATTTTTCGGCTCGAATATCACATTTGGTGGCAATCCTACATTTCTAGTAGACGTCGGTGCTTCCGTCATGTTCTGATCGTAATTTACATCTTTCCATTGATTTTTCGTCGATTCTTCGTCGTCTCTTGTCGATTGACAGGTTGCTTTTGCATTGTCATAACTTTTGAAACAAAAAAATCTTTAGATTAGTCATTTCCTTGTAATGTTTTTTTATGTAAATTTCTTACACACATGTACGGAACGTTATAAATTTTCTCGATTCGCGGTACCACACAAATAAAATCGCTTCGTAGTGTCTTGTTACGCAATTATATATTTACCGAAATTTCTTCTCCTCGCGATTGCGCTTGCAGGCTTTCATATTCTCCCAGCAACGTCTTAGCTGCACGGAAGAACGCGCGTTTCGAGGTTCGACCATGGAATTGTATTCTTGAGTGATTTGCAACCACGCCGATTTCCGCTTGCATATAGAGAGCGGATCCGGTTTTCTGTCCTCGATGATCTTGTGCTTGTTTATCAACGACAACAAAATCCTTCGCTCTTCGAAGCTGTACGTTTTGCGAGTGCCCTTCAGAGACGCGGATGCCATTTTAGTATATGACGAGCATACTGCAGCGCGAGTATTCGTTTGTTTCGATCAATTGTGCTTTTCCTAAGGGGCGTTTTCCTTATGTTTTCATTAGGTTCACTTCAGCAAGCCTGTAACATCGTTTTGTTTACGTTGTAATCTATGTCGTCTCTAACGCGTTATCCTGTTGTTCTAAAAACTCGCGTATTTTCTAGAAATTGCGCGTATCGAACGTTCAACTACAAGTGAATTAAAACGCATCTTTTACTGCAAATTGTATACATTGTTTTAATGTTTGGAATATATGCGCTTTGTCAAATATAATTTTACGTGTTTGCACTTAGTTATACCGGCATTATGCGAACGAGTTCTTGCAACAAAAGCAACATTTGAAGCTATTTTGCTTAGTTTTAAACATTTGGAGAAAATTTTCTCAAACATGTGATTGGATTTGACGTCTTCGAATCTCCGAGTGGAAATCTCTTCACGTTTTATGTGTTCCTGACGAGTGGTACGCGATGTTTCTGCCTATCGATTATTCAGATGGAATCGATAGGTGTAACCGTCGCGATTCAAGAACGCATAAAGCGCAAAGAGATTTCTCTACCGGAAGATGCTGAATCAAATTAAACATTTAAAAAGACCTTCTTCAAATATTTAAAAAAAAACTTACTCTCAATCTCAAATATGGAGGAAAGTATGTGAAGTAAGCTCGGTATTGTTGGCGTAGCTCGAGTTTTCTTCGCGCTAAATAAATACATATATTTTGTCTTTGAATTTGTGAGAACTAACTTCAAATTGTGTGTTAGAGCGCAATTGAAATTTACAAATATAATAGTTTCTTTTCGTCATCAATATCAAATAACTTTGCGCACTTCAACAATACAACACGTAAGATCAAGATGCACCATGAAGTTGGCGCTAATTTATTTATCAGTCACAGTGAATTAAATTAGTTTGATATTCGGCTGTGATACAGGTGACTATTAAGTTTTTTTTTCAAACAAATTTGCTCACCTGACCAGTTTTAGTCAATTCGGTCAAATGTTATAATGGACTCAAAGAGCACGAAGAGAGAAATCCATACGTCCCAATTATAATTTTTCGCGTTAGTTCATCCGAGAGTGCTCTTCGTTCCACTTGTGACGTTGAGGACGAAATTTACGAACAGCGTACGTCATCTAGTGGCGACACGGAACACTATGTGAGCGCTGATAGATAGCGCTGCCGTTCGCGATGCGTTTTCCAACATTTATCGCCAGTTGGCGATTATCATTCGCGATCGGGAACCCTTCAACGTATTTTGCGAACTTCTGTTCGCACATAACCCTGTTTGTCTGTATTTTTTAAGAGCGAATATTGGGCAATTGCCAAAGTAAAAAGTGTATAAAATGAGACGGCATGTTCCATTCGGCGCGACTTCTTAGCGTGCTGCTCATTCTTTTGCCGCCGATCGCGTTGTGCGATGGCGCGGACTACAAACCTTACGAGATCGACTGCAGTAACTTACGAATGGGACAGTACCTCTGTCCTCATCCCGATTATGATTTCATAGACCCGCAGACGCAGCAACCGCGCGGATGCACCAAGGAGAATAAGGCTAAAGGTAAATGCAATCGTAAATAAAATATTTGCATTCTTTACTTCCTTTATATTTCTTGCGTTTTGTTGTATTTTTTTCTCTCTTGTATACACAAGCGTGACGTGTTGCAAATAATATAACAATTAACGAAATGAAGATGTTACGAAGTTATCCAACGGATCAAATGCTTCCTTGAATCTTGGAAATTTCTGATTTCGTAATTATAATGTTACTTCTGTGTTAAATTATGTTTTTCTAACAACTTGAAGTTTGGTCCCCAAAAAGTCAAATAAGATACAGCTTCTATCTGCTAAGGCGTCTCCTAATAATTTGAAGTTTAGCTCCTGAATTTAAATATTTCAATTTGTTTAGCTCTCTTTCGAGTCTCTCTTAGAGATCTCTTTGAGGAAATTTCTGTGTGAAAGAAATTTACATAGATATGTTTCTCTTAGTATTGTGTTTAGCTGCAGATGGCCTTATATGCACAGAAACAAAGAATAATACATTCAAGAAGGATATACCTTGCAAGTGGACGTAAGTACATATTGTGCATGTGTATATTGCATATTTCGAAGTATGTTTTTTTTTTTTTCAGATTAAAGATATTTACTTCAGTATTCTTGTTTTCTTTTTAGAAATGGATATTCGTTTGAAACATCATTGTTGTTGTCAATTTTCCTTGGAATGTTTGGAGCGGATCGATTTTATCTCGGATATCCTGCTCTAGGCTTACTCAAATTGAGCACATTGGGATTTCTTTTCCTCGGCCAATTCGCCGATGTAATATTGATAGCCACACAAGTTGTAGGACCAGCTGATGGTTCGCACTATGTGATGCCATATTTTGGTGCCGGAATTACCATAATAAGGAGCAACAATTTTACGTACAAAGTGCCACAGTACGATTGTTAAGAAAAAAAATCAGCGAGCCAACGTATGAAAACAGAGGACTCGAAAAAAAAAAAAAAGTAAAAGCAATTGTATAGCCTTTGTTTGTCTGTCGCGAGCAACGATGTGCAATCCTAGATTTGTGAATTCTGTTAATAAAAATTTATATAAATATTACTTGAGATCTAATCTCCGTATTCTCTGTATATAATATAGAATAACGTTATTCTACACGTATGGGGAGAAAAATGGAAAAAATGAAAGCGAAAAAATCGAAAGAATGAAAGAGAGAAAAAGAGAGAGATAAGCTAAACATTTAACTTCTAGATATACTTTTCAACAAAATACTGTGTACATAAGTATAAAGATTTATTACTGATTTACGTATTGCCAACTGATTGTAATTAATAAAACGTTCTGTTTTTATTTCAACATGTCCTTGTTACTCATTGTTCTTTTTAGTCGCGATAAGATTTTTTCAAAGCATAATTAGCTGTGAGGACCCGCGACAATCTTAAATACCGCAATTATGAGTCAATCAGCCTTGAACGATTTGTTGCACATTTCCACTTTTAATCTATCGAAGCATATTTCGTTACGTCTCACATTTTTCCATACTTTTATTATTGATATAAAAAATCTAACTTTTGTTTTTACATCTTTAATACGCGTGAAAGTTTTTCTTAACAGTGTTTTGTATACAAATTATGCTTTGTGTTCTCGGAAACTTTGCAAAACAATTTAAAAATGTATTGCGTTACCATTTTGTTATGTGCTTCTTAACTGGCACGTTTCCGATACGAAAATACGTACGTCTGCACACCTCCCTGTCTTTATCTGGCCGATTCTTTAAGAATATTATCGTTACGTGAGTAAGAAATGACCAAAGTTGTAAAGCGACTTATTAAATCAGTCTTTTGAAAGACGCGACGTTGAGCGAGCTGTTCCGCAAGAATGTCTTCATCTGTGAAGATTACATCTCAACTTTCACTACTTGGAGTCGTGCTGTTAATTGCGATATATCATTCTGTGATAATTTCTAAAGTGAGTAATGTATAATATTTTACACGTCTATTTTTGTTTTTATATTTTTTTATAAATTTTCCATTTGTATACAATAACAAAAAAAATATTAAAGCAACTAATTTAAAAACGTGTTTTTTTTAAGTAAAAAAAAAAAACAAGATAAAAGTTTTTATATCGAAGTCTATTACATTTAATTTTGTTTTCTGATTTTAATATTAATTTTTGTACAAAAAACATTTGCAGCACGCCAACAACGAGAAAGAAAGTGTTAGCAAGTCGCAAGTATTTCGATATCGGCGAGCGATTCAGTCTGCTACACATTATTGCAGATCGAATCAGTATTACGATCAGAAAGAAGGAAGATGCTTAGGTGTGCCGGGAGGAGGTAAAGTGCTTCACGTTGAAAACGGACGATCATGTGGCAACAACATTCTGAAACCACATTGCGAGAGTCCCTTGTATTATCACATCTGCAAAAAGGACAAATCGATTCTGGCGCAATGTTCGAGCAAACAGATCTTTGACAATCGTCTTCAACGATGCGTCCAGTACGACACGATCACATTAACTCCCAGTACTATTAACCCGCATAATCAGCACCAGTATGATCACGTGCAGGTTCCGAATTGCACAAAACCCGGTCGATTTCCCGTGCCCGGCTATTGCTTCATGTTTTACTCGTGTGAATCGAATGGACATCGGCTCTACCAGAGCGTCTTCAAATGTCCGCAAAATACGGGATATCAAGTAGACAAAGAAATCTGCGCTGTTTTATCCGATTGCAAAAATGATGACTCAGTGGACTCGAAAATTTGCGTTTCAGATGCACCGGAAGAAATTGTGGAGTTGCGAAATTTCGGTGGAGCTACGGAACAAACTGTCGAATCAACTTCCGAAAGAGTCGCAGAAACTGCAACCGAGTCTCTTGTAAAAAGAGCGAATAATGATGATCGGACGGAGATGAAAGTGAGTTCAAGTACTGAAACTGGTGATTCGTATTTGACATCGACGGTGAGTAATGGTCCAGAATTCTTTTCAATCAACGACGCGTCGACGCATCAGGATGAAGAAACACAGAACACAACCACCGAACAGTACAAAACTAATGATGACGTAACAGAAACTGTACAGAACTCAAGGACTGAAGCTATCGACCCATATTTGACATCGACAGCAAGTAATATACTAAAATCCTTTTCGATCAATGACGCGTCAACGCGGTTGAATGAAGAAATACAGAACACAACCACCGAATATCACGATATCAATGATGACGTAACGGAAACTGTACAGAACTCAAGTACTGAAGTTGTTGACCCATATTTGGCCTCGACAGTAAGTGATATACCAGAGTCCTCTTTGATCAATGACGCGTCAACACAATCAGACGAAGAAATACAGAATACAACCACTGAGCAATACAAAACTGATGATGACATAACAGAAACTATACAGAATTCAAGTCCTGAAACTATTGATCCATATTTGACATCAACCACAAGTGATGTACTAAAATCTTTTTCGTTCAATGACGCGTCAACACAATCAGACGAAGAAATGCAGAATACAACCACCGAACAATATAAAACTGACGATGACACAACAGAAAGTATACAGAATTCAAGTTCTGAAACTATTGATCCATATTTAACATCGACAGCAAGTGATATACCAAAATCCTTTCCGATCAATGACGCGTCAACGCAGTTGAATGAAGAAATACAGAACACAACCACCGAATATTACAAAATCGATGATGACGTAACGGAAACTGTGCAGAATTCAAGCACTGAAGCTGTTGATCCACACTCGACAGTAAGCGATGTGCCAGAATCTTTCTCTAATACGTCACCGCAGTTGGAAGAAACACGAAGTGCAATCACAGAACAGTATGAAGATGACAACAGAACAGCAACATTATCGAATTTTACCCCTGAAATGACTGATCAAGGTCCAACGTCAGAAATAAATGACGTATCAGCGACCACGAGCAATCCGTACAGTAACGCCTTCGATACATCTACGTCAGTATCTGATACAATGGTATCGCAAAAAACCGTCGATATTTATGAACATACTACGGAAGAATTATCGGAAACTACTCCTTCAATAGAGAGTAAATCTGCTGACACCGACTTGCACGAGACTGGAGAAATTACCACACAACATTCACGCGAAAATACTGATGATGATGCAGAATTATCGACCACAATTGCCGCTTTTATTCTGAGACATACAACCACACCAATGGACAGTACAACTGTGACACCTATTGTACAAAATATACCTGCAGTTTCAGAAAAAACTGATTTGGTAACGCAAAACAGCTCGGAAGGACTGCCTGAGTAATTATTGATTAAAAAACTAAACAAATGAGATGATAATCAAATGTTTATCCAATATTCTTTCATGAAAAAAAGTTAAATTTAAATGTGGAATTTAATTAAATGTTATTAAATTTAATTTCTATCGGACAAGGAATAAGATTGGAATCGTAGAAAAGGTATGTGTAATATAAATATTACAAACATGTAGATAAAATAATTTATTATACTTTTTTTTTTAATAATAATTTCTCAAAATTTGTTTCCCATTTTTGAGGTAGAGTTGCGATCAATTTAAACGTAAAACAAAATCGTTTTTTACTTCAGATAAGAAAAAAGGAACTTACTTTTCATAACAAAAAATAAATAAATAATACCGTATACCGAGAGACACGATTATTTGTTCCGATAAAATTGACATAATTCTAAATCTCATTGTCATTACATGTTCTCTTTTTCTTGCTCGTTAACGAGTGTGTAATAGACGCCTTTTTGTTTAATTAGTTCCGTATGCGTGCCCATCTAAGAAAAGAACGTTGTACATATTTTATTTATACATTAACCTAACGCGATATCGCGTAAATCTTATTATCGATATTAAAGCCTCACCTCCACAATAACACCACGTTGTAATACGACGATTATGTCAGCATTTTTAACAGTACTCAACCTATGAGCGATCACAAGTACCGTTCTTCCTTTTGTAGCGTTTTCAATTGCCTTTTGAACGACTCTCTCGCTTTCATAGTCCAACGCGCTAAACGTTGAGACACAAATAAATAATTACCAAGACAGATCTACTTGACCTACCTGATCCACCTCGCTGTTACTCGTACCTTGTTGCCTCATCCAAAATTAAAACAGATGGTTGTTTCAACAAAGCTCTAGCAATGGCAACTCGTTGCTTTTGTCCACCCGAGAGCTGTGTGCCTCTTTCTCCAACCTCGGTCGCGTAACCATCCGGGAACTTAGTTATAAATTCGTGAGCGTTCGCTTCTTTAGCTGCCTCGATGACCTGGATTGAAATCGAAGTATATATAAAAATATTACTAATATTACATCATATAAAAAATAACAACATTCTGCATTTACCTCATCATTCGTTGCGTCTTGTCTTCCGTATCTAATGTTTTCCATAATACTAGTAGCGAATAAAGTAGGTTCCTGATTGATGTATCCCAGAACGTTACCTCTGAGATAACTCGAATTCAAAGATCTGATATCTCGATTGTCGATTGTAATAGAACCTTCATCGACATCGTAGAACCTACAATTTTACAATTCGATTGTTTTTATCAATCTTCCACGATCATTGTCATAAAAAACCCATACCTTTCTAATAACGCAGCCACGGTTGATTTACCATTACCGCTGGTACCGACTATTGCCACGGTCTTTCCCGCAGGAATATGTAAATTGAAATTCTTCAAAATCACGTGATCCGGTCTAGTAGGATAACTAAACTTTACATCCTTAAAAACTATGTTCCCCGCCATAGACTGGTCTGTGATTATGTCGCCACCAGTCATCATTGGAGAAGGAGGTATATCTAAATACTACAAAAAAAATCAATTATATCTAGTAGTTTTTAGCGAGAAATGACGTGGACATAATCTATGATTAATATACTACCTGGAAAACTCTAGCACCTGCACTTTGTCCCCTAACAAAAGTTCCAAAGAGCACCGACAGCTGACTTAATGATCTCTGTATGGTTTGCGTAGCCATCAAGAACGCCATGAGATCTCCCGGAGACAACTGTCCTGTGGAAAGCAGCTGCCCGCCGAAGTACAGCGTGGAAAGTAGAATGCCGTTAAGCAATAAATTTGTTCCTGCTTGAAAGAAACCAATACCAAAACCCAATTTTTCGTACAGTTCACACGAACGTTCGATCTCTTTGTAAAACATTTCCGCCTCTTTCTCTTCCGCCGCGAAAGCTCTTACCTGATAAAAAAATAAAAGTAAAAGGGCAAGTTGCGATATAAACTTTGTAACATTATAGTATTTTAAACGGTTATTTGTCGTCTAATACCGTTCGAATGTTTTGTATAGCTTCCTCGCAAACGGCAGTTGATTTTGCAACTTGATTTTGCGCCTCCATAGACAGTTTGCGCAAACTTTTTCCCAGAAGAGTGCCAATGAAAATTATCGCAGGCAAACTGAATACCACCAGAGTGGTCAATTGTGGCGATATCACTATTACAGAGACGACACAACCGATAATTTGCGTAAAGCTTCTCAAGCCTTGAGAAATGCAGGTCTTAAATGAGCTTTTAAAGTCTTGAATATCACTGGTCAATCGACTTACTATTTCACCAGAACGTGTTTTGTCAAAGAACGCTACGTCTTGCATGATAATAGACCTGAACAAATCCTGACGTAAGCTCACCGCGACTTTTTCACCGACATGTGAGAGTGTATAAATATATACGAAGGTAAAGAATGCCTGGAAAAAAAATCTTAGATATCACAACTGATATAAATATGTACAGATACCGGAGTGTAAGTTATGTTGTTCTGATTTAAACAATTATACCTGTGCAATGTACATCCGTGCGAGTGTAAAAGCTGGTTGAGTAAGCTGCAAGATGACTTGTTTTGCAGAATCACTTTTGTTCTTACAAATTTCTGTGAGCACATTTATGACACTTCCAACACACTGTGGTATTTGAATGTTTAACAGTGCAACTATCAGTGCGCTCTACAAGCACAGAGCAATATTATTTGAAGCAATACTATAAAGACTTTTAAGTTACAAATACTTACTGAAAGTGCTAATAATAAGTACCAAATATGTGGATACAAATACTTGAAGAATTTTCTCCATTCAAAATTGAATTCAGGATCTTGAGGTTTTATGTCGCTTATTCTTTTGGCTTCTCTGCATATCACAATTTGATCGTGTGATTTTAAAATGTAAGCAGCTGTTACTCCAAATCCGCCAAAGCCAAACTTGAAAATGTAGGAAGAAAGCTTGGATTCTTTCACATTTTCTTTGGCACAACTCTGAGCGACTTTTGTAAATTCACGTTTTGTTACTTCCCATACTCTCTGACTCTTTCCTTGTATAATGTTTTTCTGAATGGAATACCTAAAATATTTAATTACAATTAAGTTTTTAAAAACAATTTAATTCTACGAACTTGATAATTTATATTGATTAATAAATTATGCCTGATAATTACCGTGAAATTACCGAATAATTGTTATGACACTTGAATAATACAGCGCGCAGCACAGTCATTTTTCAAAATATAATTCGTACAGGCGTTAAATTATTCTAACTTGTGTTAATATATAGATTTTGTGTTATTTGTATATTAAATCTGCATTAATGTAAGACGCATTTTTGCCAGTGATTACCGTAACATCTCGCGTGTCACGGACATGACGGACAGATTTTAATTAACAATTTGGATGAAGGTTAACTAATAATACATCGAGGGCAGCGCCATTTTTCAACGCGACCATGAGATCGTTGTAGTTTCGCGAACTTCCCACAGATGGCGCTCGGTGTATCAACAAGCTGAAGTTGCAGCTTACGAATTTCCAATTGTGGCGTCTTGAAGAAGATACTCGCGCGTTTCGAAGAGAGAAAAGTTTGTATAAAACAAACCAAAAAAGAAGACGTTCAGACACTATTCAGAATCTGAGTATTCTCGAGGTTGATTCATTCAAGCAGTAATCGAGAAACAAGATGAGAACGGGACCGATTCGAATAGTTCTTTTGCGTCTCAGGTAAAGGATGAGAATCAGACACGTTTCTGAGATTCCTCTTACATTTTAACGTACAATCTTGATGAACGAGAGTTCGCGTATATTTTACGAAGTATATCTTTGTCTACTATGTATAAAATTCATCGAGCTCTGAATGAATAGACGAAGATTACGCGCGTCATGTTTATTATTTGTATAGTAGATACGTATGTACATAAAGATACGCGCCATTATCGGAAGACACTTTTGTCAATCCGCCATATTCGTAATTTACTTGTTGACTTTCTCAACTTGCAGGTATTCGCGATTTGTTACATCTCTTCCCGGACTGTGTGTGTGTGTGCGCGCGCGCGCGCGCGCGTGAGTTTGCCACGTGCCCTCCAACCGCCCACGACATCGAGAATCGTCACGAGGAAGCAAAGTACAAAAAGGTAAAAAAAAAAAAAAGACAGACTTTGATCACTAAGCTAATACATGTCGCGCGCGCGCGCGTCCGGATAAAAAAGCTCGAAAATTGCGCCTCGACGAAGGGGTCTGGCGTCGGATGAATGGGAGGGGGCTTGCGCTGGGCCCTAAAAAGACCTAATCGCCCCGGCAAACTCTTTGAACGGCGAGTATAATGACGTGTATTTATGTATTCGCCGCGTTTAATTGCCTGTGCGGCTATTAGCGCTACTCCACACGCCTTCCCAGCCGGGGGTTTGACTGCTACTTGCGGCTGGGGAGAGTAAGTACTTGTATTCTTGTGCGCGCGAGAAGTCTCTGCCGATACATATTTGAAATTTGTCCAATTTCGGGGAAATGAGAATAATTGCGAGCAGAGATTCTGAATAAATTTGTTGTTTTAATTTTATTTTTAATCCTGGGGGATGAAGAATCTTGAAATTTCCAGAGAAAAAACACATGCGTGTCTTTTAGAAGATAGAATTTGAAAATAAAATTTGAGAGAGAAACTGCGTAGAAATTTATAATTATGCACAATTGTGAAAATAATTACGGACTTTTATGCAAGTGCGTAATTACTGCATCTGCAGGTACTTGCTTAATTTCTAAGTGTTTTTTATTTCTCTAGAATAAGCGAATCTTGCGCTGTGTGTGACAAAGACACGAAAATGAGGAGAACTAGAAAATGACAATCTTGATGTGTCAACTACTGCTATTCTCCGACTGCATTCGACAGCGTTATCAATGTTAGCGCGCATCTTGTGATTCTAATTGCTCTTTGTTACACATCGCGCGCGTTGTATTCCAAAACTTGTTGCAGCGTGTTCGAAGTCGACGAAATCGCGGTGTCTTTCACTTGTCGCGTTTTGCAACACTTCTAATTTAATTGAAAAAAATGTCTATGTACCATCTTAAAAATTTTGAAGAAAATACTTTGAGTAAGAAATTTTAAATAACAAGAAAAAACTATTGTGTACGAACATGTGCGTGTAATTTTGAAAAAAATCAGTGCGACATGTATTTCCGATTTTTCTCTTTGCAAGCGCAGTTTGTTGACTGTACTTGTATGCGAAAAAGTCTGTCAGTTTTTCTTTTTTTTTTCATCATTTATCTGTGAATAGAACGGGAGAGAGTAAGCTGTTATAAAGCGCGTGTTTTTCGAGAATGCTCTTTACGAATGTCGAAAGAATATCTTGCAAACGAGTTTGCGTCATCTGCGGCACTCAGCATACTCGGAGAACGGCGCGGGAGGAACTTCACATTAAACCCTTCCTCTCGGATCTACAAAAGCCATCGAGTCGAGGTCGCCCCTTTAACCCAGATTTGCGCGATTGCTCGCCTTATCGCGCGTCGCTTTAATATTTTTCGAATCCACGATGTTTCAAGAGATTGAGAGTCATTTGTGTGTACTGTGAAAAACACAATACAACGAAAAGAAAATTTTTTTGCACGCTTATGGCAAAGAATTTATTATTACGAAAACATTGATTAATACATTAGAAAGCTGTGTAAAAACAAATAACGAAAAAGTCGAACATCACGGAAAATTCTATTTTTTTAAAGAAACAACGCGGTCCTGTGACCTCGTGTCGGTCGTGAAAAAAAAAACCATGTGCATTGTCTCTTTGCAAACATATATCTCCGTAAAACGCTCTGAAATCAGTGCATTCATACATCGTACAAGAATTCAATAGCAAGCGAGATTTTTTTTTTTTTTTTTTTTTTTTGTGAAGGAAGTTGTTTCACGCTGCTAAATCCGTGGCAGACGAAAACGGGAAGAATAGCAAACGGAGAAGAGCGAAAGAGAGAGAATTCAAGTATAAGCGCTGCGACAGTTTGCCGCGCCGTGACGGCCAAAGAATGGACCAAATGAAGCCTTCTAAATTTCAACACCCTCTTCGTCGCCGAATTTCCCCCCGTGTGTGTCGACTTCCCGCCGTCTTTCTCCGCAACTCTCTCCTTTCGCCGCTCTCCTTCCTTTTTCTTCGCGTTCCCCGAGTGATTCGCGAAGTCGCGGCAACGGTGGTGACGGGGTACGAAAAGCCTCGTCCGTGAAATACACGCGGTGTGCAGGTGCCGACGACGGAACCGTCGCAGGGGTGGCGATGACGCAAAGTCAGCGCGGGCCAATGGACTCGGGCTCTGGGAAACAGCCGGAGCGGTGGCACCGACTGCCGGCTCGCGATTGGGCGTGGCTCCAGGGGGCGCCCTCGACTGCCTCCCCTATGCCGGGGGTGGGAGCGAATCCCCAAAGTGTGCCCCGGGGTATAATATCATACCGCTAGGTGGATAAATAGACGTAGCGCGCGGCGAGGCTACGTTGGTGCGCGCCGCGGGAAGAGACGGGGATGGAGAGAAGGAGGAGGAGGAGGAGAGGCCCACGGGAAGAAAAGGGGGAGCAAGGATGTGAGAAAGGGATGAACGAAGAGAGACAGAGGTTTCGGGGATCTGCGAAACGCCGCATAGGTAGGACACGAGAGGAGGTGAAGAGGAGAAGGAGGAGGAAGAGGAGGAGGAGGAGGTCGCGGATGGTTGCTTGAGGCCAGCCAGGGAAGAGGTGGGGTTTATAGGTCTGGTTAGAAAATGGTCGTGGCAGGGGTGACGGGATGCACGAGGAGGAATCGCGTGCGGCTGTGCGCGCAACGACGACAACGACGACGGCGGACTAGAACAAATAATGGTTGTAGTCAGCCTCAGCTTCCGAGAGGTATTTTCCAGTCACATGAATCGCTCGGGCACGCTTGGCGGAGAATGTGGAAACCCTCCTTCGAAGGGCACGCTCGTGACTCTCCTCGTGAGACGCTGCTCGCGAGGAAGCTGACCTACGACGAGAGGCGCATTGGCGAATTCGAAGGACAGAGAGCATTAAAGAGCTTTTTTTTCTTTCTTTTCACAGCTGCACTTGTTTTTTTTTATATATCTTACTATTTTTCAAAATGTACATATTTCGGTACATACTCATTTTTGTCCTACGAAAGTATAGTGCAACTAAAACGAACAACATTTATTTGTTTGATAAAGTTGTTATCAAGCACTTCGAAATTTCGAACAAATGTTTGAATGCCGTTCGAGAGATTTGTCGTCGTTGCAAATAATTTATTATCTTCGAGATGAAAAAAAAAAAAAAAAATACTTTCTCACAAAAACAAGGAATTAATTCGGCTTACATATTTGAAAATCTTTCGGAGAGAAATTTATCGCGCGCAGAAAAATTTGCGCGTTGTACTAAAATTCTCTTAACAAACTCTTGATCGAATTTACGTAGTTGTGCACTTTGAAGTTTATCGAATACGTTTTTTTAATCGCTTTCAATAAAGATTCCACAATCTTTGCGAATACAGACGTTTTGAGAGATACAATTGCAGTGAACAAGCAATATCGCGCATCTTGTTTGCGGTAACTCGAGAAACGTCAAAAATTGGCCATTTTTTCGAAATACAGATATTTCGCTGAATCGCAATTCTATTACATAGACGAGTAAATGGGTCTTTTTCTACAGAATGTGAGTTACATTCGTATACGATGCGTTTCAACACACACCGTTTGTACTCACACGAGATACTCTACATGACAATATACATATATGTACATATACAAAACAATTTGACTTAGCCGTTTGAGAGCCGAACGGCACGCGATCGCGCGCCTCTCTTGTTTCATCATACGAAAAAATGCCAGCGAATACTCGGCATTTAAAAATGATGAAAGTATGTTTTTTTCAGCTGAACTCGAGTCACAAATCTGTTTGAAAAGTTCATGAAAAAAAAACTTCGTAGACGTACTTTTTTAAATAATGAAAATGTGATTCACACACGCGCGTTACCGTTTGATGATTTTTTGGAAAATTCAATTTTCCTTAAAGGAACAAAAATGTGTGCAATTCGAATAAAATTCTTTTTCTCCAAAAAAAAAGAAAAAAAACGCCGTTTCAAATTCCGTATGTATGAGAATTCTGTGTATAGATGTGCTATATTCGCGTTGTAAATATGTCTTCGGCACTTTCAGTTGCCACGTTTCGGATCCGCGGAAGTAAATAGCGAAGCAAAGAATCCGCTGGCGTGCGGGGAAGCGATATCGGTGGATCTAGTGCGGGGAAAACGAGCTATCATCGAGAAAAGCTGTCGCGCCTGAAGCAGCGGGAGCTGCTATCGCGTCTCGCATGCGATTTTGTAGAATGCTGAGCGCAGTGTGTAGCGGAACAGGATGTTGTCAGCTGAAATTAAATTTTCCTCCTAGAGCGGCGGGTCGCTCGGCAACCTGATATTGTGGGCGTTAAGCTACGTACACATCTACAACA